CTTGTGCATAACCTTGTAAAGGAGCATTAATGGAACTCAGAGAACCTCTCAAGGACTGTGTGATTTGTTCCACAACTTTTTTGTGTTGTTTAGACAGCAAGGGAAACAAATAGATTACTGGTTTGTTAAAAAGGATATAGCTCTGGAACAACCAGATAGAAGAGATATATAAGGCAAGTTATGTGGGAAGGGGCACAGAGCTTGAATCTCTGAAAAAAAATTTTTTACATATATTTATTTTTGAAAGAGAGTGAGAGCACGACCAGGGGAGGAGTAGAGAGAGAAGGAGACACAGAATCTGAAGCAGGCTCCAGGCTCTGAGCAAGCATTCAGCACAGAGCCTGACCCAGGGCTCGAACCCACGAACCGTGAGATCATGACCTGAGCCAAAGTCAGATGCTCAACTGATGGAGCCACCCAGGCGCCCCATCTCCCTGAATCTCTAAATGTTCATCAGCTGGAAGCTCTGCACTGGTACTTATGATGTTTAGTGATTTCTCCTAAGTAGGAAATATACATTTCACTCGTTAAAAGCAACCCATGGTTCAAAAATTTCTAAATTGGTTTTGAACTGTAATGATAATGATATATCATGAAGATGATATATTTATTCCATTATAACTAAATATTTTTTAATGTTTATTTATTTAGAGAGAGAGAGAGAGAGCAGGGGAGGGGTAGAAAGAGAGGGAAAGAGAGAATCCCAAGCAGACAGAGAATCTGTCAGCGCAGAACCCCACGCAGGGCTCAATTTCATCTCATGACCATGAGATCATGACCTGGGCCAAAATTAAGACACTCAACTGACTGAGTCACCCAGGTGCCCCAATAACTAAATATTTTAAAACAGAAATTGAATTATTTAAGACTCATAGTGTTCACCAGAAAGAGTCCACTCTGTTCCTAAGCCAAAGCCTATAGATGGAACACTTTACACACAATAAGAAGAGAAAGAACTTCAAATGGTACTAAGAAAACCAGGATAATATAATGCCCCAGAAGCCAAGGGTGAATTTCAAGGAAGTGGTCAATTTTATCTTATTTTTTAAATGTTTTTTAATGTTTATTCATTTTTTGAGAGACAGAGACAGAGCACAAGCAGGGGAGGAGCAGAAAGAGAGGGAGACACAGAATCCGAAGCAGGCTCCAGGCTCTGAACTGTCAGCACAGAGCCCAATGTGGGGCTCGAATTCACTGACTGCAAGATCATGACCTGAGCTGAAGTCGGATGCTTAACCGACTGAGCCACCCAGGTGCCCTGGAAGTGGTCAATTTTAAATGCTATAAATGGATTAATCAAAAAGAAAAGAAACAGAGGAAACTTACACAGTAGTGGACCATCTCTTTTCTGTTAACCTTTCTTGGGGCTTTAGTCTATTGATCACTTCAATAGAGTCAGGGGAAATGAAAATAATACAGATGTCCTATCTTCAAAAATCCATTTTACATTCCTCCTTCTGTATGTATGAAAAACTACAGCCTCCTCTCTAGCAATGTCTACTGTCTATACGGTGCTCTAGCCAACTTTTGCAACTTTTCCTCCAGAGTACCTCTTAACCCGCTGTTTTCTTTTCTTTTCTTTTCTTTTTTTCATGCTCATTTATTTATTTTGAGAGAGAGAGAGGGAGGGAGGGAGGGAGAGAGAGAGAGAGAATGAGAGAATGCGCTGGGGAGGAGCAAAGGGGAGGAGTAGAGACAGGAAGAGAGAGAATCCCAAACAAGCTCCGTGATTCCAGCTCAGAGAGAGCCTATCATGGGGTTTGATCTCACGAACACTGACAACACAACCTAAGCCTGATACTTAACCAATTGAGCCAACCAAGTGCCCCATTAACTCACTATTGCTGTAAGTTTCTGCCATACCTTATCATGACAGAAAACAGAAGATGTAGCAGTGATTGTTGCCAAAGCTTGACATTTAATGTAGCTATTCAGAATGATGGCCTTCTTGATGACCAGAACAGTTTAGCTTGGATACTGTTTAGGAGTAGAGGGAAAGGTGATGGGGACAGAACATCATTGATCAAGGCTCTGTTAACCTTGAAAATGCAAGCTTAGGGAGTATTTAGAGGTCATCTTGATGTCTTCAAAAGCCTACGCCTGTGCGTAGAGCTGCTGGCAAAGATTTTCAAAAGAAATAAACTCAGCCAGCCTGTTCCTTTGGCTCTTCGCCCTTTTATTTTCATCATCCTTTCTGTGGACACAATGCCCATCCTACAACCATAAAGACAAAAGTCATATACGAGGGAGAGTAAGACCAAAAGCAAGGAGCCTAGTTCCTTGCTGACATTCTCAAATGGCTGCATCAGCCCTGGAGTGCCTACCTCTGGATTTATTATATAGGAAAATCCCCTTTTTATTTAGTCACTATAGCCTGGTTTTCTGTTGAAGTACAATACTACCCAGCCATTTGATTGTCTGCCTTCCTCACCAGATCATGAGACGTCAGCAACCACGTCTATATTTGCTACCTGTAAGATAGGAAGCTTTCATAGAAGTTCTAGAAAACTCAAAATTGCCTTAAACTATAAGGAAGTTTAACTCACATAACGAGATCCAAAAGTGAGATAGACTTAAACGTTGACATAATTCAGGGGTACCTGGCTGGCTCAGTCAGTTAAGTGTCCACCTCTTGATTTTGGCTCAGGTCATGGTCTCACAGTTCATGGGATTGAGCCCTGCATCTGGCTCTGCACTGAAAGCACAAAGTCTGATTGGGATTCTCTCTCTGCCTCTCTCTCTGACCCCACCTCAAAATAAGTAAACATTTTTTAAAAATCTTAAAAAAAACAAGTTGACATAATCCCATCACTCCAGCTCCATTACTCTGCTATTCTTTTTGCCTCCTCCATGTGTTAACCTCACACACAGGTTGCCCGTCAAAAGGACGGTAGCAATTTCACACCTCATATCCAAGCTCAATCACGTCCAGAGGGAGCATGAATCACTTTCTAAGTTCTCCTGGAAAAGCTTTTCTGGAAGCATCCTACACACTTATCTTTGCAATTCACTGAGGTGAACTGGGAAACATATATGACCCTAACCCAGTCCCCTACAAGAGGGTGAAATTGCCCTTAGACCAGTCCAGACCACTCCTGGAGCTCAGGATGCTGAGCTAAGTGAGCTGTAAGAGGGATTCCTGAACAACATCAGGATTCTGTTGGGAAGGAAGGAGGGAAAGAATGCTGAGTAGGTAAGGACTCCCTTGTTGTATTCCCAACACCTTGTATATTTTTGGGGAGCGGGGGAAGGCAAAAAAAAATTTTTTAATGTTTATTTATTTTTGAGAGAGACAGAGCGTAAACAGGGGAGGGCAGAGAGAGAGGGAGACACAGAATCTGAAACAGGGTCCAGGCTCTCAGCCGTCGGCACAGAGCCCGACACGTGGCTTGAACCCATGAACCGTGTCATTGTGACCTGAGCCGAGGTCGGATGCTTAACCAACTGAGCCATCCAGGTGCCCCTCAACACCTTGTATATTAAAAAAATAAACCCACCTACTGCGCAAAATGTATAATTTATCTCAACAAGAAGTTGAGAGAAGGAAGCATGTTTTACTCATGTATACTACTCCCAGTGTTTAACTCAACAGCCTGAACATAGTAGGAATTTAAATTGTTGGGTCAATGAGAGAAAACAGCCTAAATTATATAACCGTCCTGGATTCTTTTGAGACTGCTAGATTTTTCTTGCAAATCACTTTCTTTGACTCCCATGACTTAGAGCTGCTGGGGTAGACAGGAAAAATCCGAAGTCAACAGATTTACATTTATTCAACAACAATATTAATGTGCTGGTGACTTTGTCTGGAAAAGCAAATCATAGTGAAGTCCTTAAAGTTTTTTTCTTACCAAAATGAAGAAACTGGAGGGATGATGTTCTGCTTCTCTGGGGGCACAGTTGTCAAACTTAAAAATTCCAAATCCTTCCCAAATTTTCCAATTCCAATATTCCTTACTGTCAATAACTAGAGATGACTACTGTTGGTTATTTTTAATAGTTGAGTTTCAAGGTGTGAACATTTCATATTATCCATGGAGATTTAAGTCTCTGAAGAAGAACAAAAATACATTTTTGTTCTATATGAAAATACATATACTAAATTTTCATCACTAGGCAAATTTAGATCATCACTAAACTGACTTGGGTACCTCTCTCCTCATCCTATTAAAAAATATTTTTTTTTAAGTTTGGGTCTGTAAGGCGATACTTCCTGTAAAAATGTCTCCTCAGCAGGGCCACTAATACTTGACCTGAATGGTTGGCATTGGTGAGTTTGGTTCACAGAAAGTGCCCCAGAGCTGGGGATTGATGAACAAAGGTTTGAATCTCAACCCAGAACACTGCTGTCACCAGGGACTAACCACTGAACCATACAGCTCTCTCAAAACAAGGAACACAACCGCCGCTTTTGTCACAGCCAGGACTAAAAGAGTCAGTAAGTAAGCACAGTTCCAGGCACATAATGTTAACCTAACAATTTAATACACTTGTTTTCTCATCCATTTCTCCAAATTTCCCAACTAATCCCAAACGTCCACATGGCCTCCAAATGGGCCAGGAATTTAGCACAAGAGGCGTGCCTGGGAAATGGGGTTGTGGGGGACCCGCCAAGGCGTGTCGCAGCCTGGGGGCGATTCAGCCCCCTGCAACGACTGGCGCCGTCACGCGCGTCGCGGCCCAGGAACCCGGATGCTGGGGGTCGCCGAGGGCGTCTTGCCCCCACGTCACCCACCCGGAGTGGCGAGGAGCCGTAGCCGAAGGCAACGCTGCGCACCGCTCGCAGTCATCGCGACTCAGGCCACCGCGCCAAGCCGCAGTACCACGTGCCCGAAGAGAGGGTGCAAACGTGCACAAAATGGCGGAGCAGTACGCCAGGACAGGAGGGAGGAAAACTGCCTGCCAGCTCCCGCCGGACCCCTCCGGGCAGTTTCCGGGTCTTCGGAACCGGAAACGGGTCCCAGGCGCGCGCCTGGGCGAGAGTGGGCGGGGCAGCCTTCCCGGAAGTGCCTCCGGTCCCGGCCGGGGGCGCGGCCCCGTGGCCTCCGCTGTTCAGCCTGGGAGTGCGGTAGAGGGAGGGGCCCCAGAACACCGCCGCCCTGTCCGGTTTCAGTGCGGCTGGGCGAGGGCGGTACCCCGTTAGGGCAGCGATCCCACGGTGGGCAGGAAAGGAGAGCTGCAGAGGGACCCGCGCCCTTCCCCCGCTCAGAGAGGGAAGCGAGTTTGGCCAGCCGGCGGGTGAAAGCGACGTTCCCCAGTCCCAAAGGGAGGGGCGGAATGGACGGGCCCCTTCCTCCCAGGGAGTCTGCAAAATTCATTGCAGAGAACAGTCGGGATGTGTTCATCGACGGCGGAGGCGTGCGGAGGGTGGCCAAGCTGCTGCTCGCCAAGGCCTCGGGGCCCGAGCTGCGCCTGGGGGGCTGGAAGGCCCTTCACGAGCTGAATCCCAGGGCGGCCGACGAGGCCGCGGTCAACTGGGTGTTCGTGACAGACACGCTCAACTTCTCCTTCTGGTCGGAGCATGAGGAGCACAAATGTCTGGTGGGGTACAGGGGGAAAACGTACAGCGGGTACTGGTCCCTGTGCGCCGCGGTCAACAGAGCCCTCGACGAAGGTTGGTGCCCCCTGTCAGACCTGAGGCAGGGTTCGGTTCAGCGGGAGGGTCCCAAGGAGCGGGTCCGGCGTCTGGGTTAGTACGGCGAACTTGAAGTTCTTCATTGCTTAAAGTGAAGCAGTTCTTCTCTGTTTAAAATAGAAGTGTGAGAGGAGGCTGGCTATAAGTCCATTCTCAGTGAGAAATGATCCTAATGTTTATCATCAGCACAGCTAAGAATAAAAGTCAGTTTTCTAAAGAATGTCACTTTGATGACATCTGAAGAACAAAGGGACACCTATAACATTTTATGCAGTCAAAATACATCTGATGTAATATGACAATTGTTAGAAACGGATGAATAAATACAGATGAGTAAATAAAAAATGCTTCTGATTTTTAAATTCTTCATCCACTTTTCGTGCATTCCTGTAACACTCATTTGCTCTCCTATTGTATGTTGTAAAAGCTAGGGTCTAATGAATATAAAAGTATGACATTGTTCCTCTGCATTTTCTTTTCTCCCTAAGGGATCCCGATAACTAGTGCTTCCTACTATGCCACAGTGACCCTGGATCAGGTTCAGCACATATTCCGTTCTGACACGGACGTTCCCATGCCTTTGATAGAAGAGAGGCATCGGATTCTTAATGAAACCGGGAAAATTCTGCTTGAGAAGTTTGAAGGCTCTTTTCTTAATTGTGTCCGAAAAAGTGAAAAAAGCGCTCAGAAGTTAATGCACCTGGTAGTCGAAAGCTTTCCTTCTTACAGAGATGTGACTCAGTATGAGGTGAGTTGCTTCTGTTGGAGATTTTACAATTCTTAATTATCTTCTTCTAGTTACCTCTTTTACTTCCAGAACTACTTTTGAGAATAAACACTTAAAATTTGAAGTTCCTTCCTTGTGGACAAGGAACAGGAACAAAATTGTTTAGTAGTGTTTCAAAGAGGTTACTTCTTTTATGTTTTCTAGTTAGTGTGTTTCCTTTATTCTTTTGTTCCTTTTTCTTTGTCCTTTTAAAATGTTTCAAACATAAAAAACACTGGACCTTCAATATGATGTTGCTACTGAGGAATAATGAGGACCTTCTGGAACTTCCAAAAATTTAGTTCATTGGATGAAAATCAGAAAATATTTCTAAATTCTCTCTAATAAAAAGTAATTTTTGGCAGATCTAATGTATATATACATATTGTGTGTTTTCTTTTTCACACAGAGTACTTTAACAGTGTTATTTTCTTTATTTACTTTAAATAGATGATGTACTTTTAAAATGGCTAACATTTGGTATACCCTCCCAATATACACCCAGAGTCTGTTTTTGTAAAAATTTTTTTAAGGTTCATTTATTCTTAATAGAGAGAGAGAGAGCATGCACACACACAAGTGGGGGAGGGACACACACACACACACACACACACACACACACACACACACACACAATCTGAAGCAGGCTCCAGGCTCTGAGCTGTCAGCACAGAGCCCGACATGGGGCTCAAACTCATGAACTGTGAGATCATGAACCGAGGTGAAGTTGGACACTCAACTGACTGAGCCACCAAGGTGCCCCTGTTTTTGTAAAATTCATTTAGAATTTGTTATCATTGTATATTTTATGTCACTGTGACATAGAAGTGAAAGCAACTTGAGAGGAGTCGCATAATATAAATCTATTGAATAAGTTAAAGAATGCTTAAGTCACATTGACATTTTTAAGCTACCCTTTTGAAATCACAATTCAACAACTAACAACAATTACCAATAATATTGTTTAAATTGCTCTTTATGATTTACAGGGTGTTTGTCTGTACACTCTCATTTGATCCATAGAAGAGCTCTGTGGGCCTAAGGACAAGGATCATTATTGTCCTGTTTGCAGACCAGGAACCAAAGTCTAAACAGAAAGGTTAACTGGTTTATTTTATTTCACTTAGTCAGGAAATAAATAGCTAGCATTTCAATTCTCCTGTAAAGTGAGAGATGCTTGGTTATATATGTTAAGATTCCTTTGTTGGTGGTGGTGGTGGTGTTGTTAAGATTCTTTTAATTGCAAGAGACAGACACAAAACTATAAAAAGCTTAAGCAAAATGAAGAATTTGGGATGGGTATTAGGGATAGGAACACCTAGGGTCAGGGACTCAGTGCCATCAGGATTCAGTCTCTCTGTTTCTTTTGGCTCCATATTTCTCTGACTACAGGCTGGCTTTCTCCATGAAGTAGAAAAGGTTCATGAATGTGTATCCTATTGCTTCAGCCACCAGAGAGAGAGGGAGAAGTAGACACCCTCTCTCAGGTACCTTCTAAAATTCCTGGTCAGGGGCGCCTGGGTGGCGCAGTCGGTTAAGCGTCTGACTTCATCCAGGTCACGATCTCGCGGTCCGGGAGTTCGAGCCCCGCGTCGGGCTCTGGGCTGATGGCTCGGAGCCTGGAGCCTGTTTCCGATTCTGTGTCTCCCTCTCTCTCGGCCCCTCCCCCGTTCATGCTCTGTCTCTCTCTGTCCCAAAAATAAATAAACGTTGAAAAAAAAAATTTAAAAAAAAAAAAAATAAATAAATAAAATAATAAAATTCCTGGTCAAACGCTGATTGAATTGGCATGGATTATGACCAATTACGTGTGGCTGCAGGGACTTTGAGTGGGGCAGAGGCAGTTCCTAGAAAAGAAGCCCTAGGCCACTGCTGAATTTCATTTTGTTCTAAGCATTTTGCTAATGCAGAGGTTACTTTGAGATTTATCTTTGTCTTTAAAGTGTGTCATTTCAGCCTTTTTTAAAGAAATTGTGGATCAAGTTCCTTGGTGCATCCTTCAGGCCATCTAAATGTATTAGTGTATAAACGAAATCAAAGGTGGCTAAGAATCCATGTATTCCAGAATCGACATGGTTGTAGAAAGGGCTAAGAGTAAATTTAACATGATTTCAGAATGGAATAAACTCATGATAGCATATAGTTTGCTTTGAAGTTGTCGTGAGTTTTTGTTTTTGTGGAAGAAAGAGTAAACTTTTTTTGTAGCTTATAATTCCAAGTTAGTAAGCAAATGTGCTGAGTTTCTATTTTATTTGAAACATGGTTTGCTTTGCTGAAAAGCTCAAAATGTTTTTAAAGGTTTATTTATTTTGAGAGAGACAGAGTACAAGTGAACAAGCACTTGTGCACGTGTGTCAGCAGGGGCAGGAGCAGAGAGAGAGAGGGAGACAATCTGAAGCAGGCTCCCTGCTGTCGGCGCAGAGCCGCACGTGAACTGTGAGATCATGACCTGAGCTGAAATGAAGAGTCCGACGGTCAACCGACCGAACCACCCAGGTGCCCCTCAATTTTTAAAAATTGTACCAGAGTATAGATTAATTTTAAGGCTGACATATTTTAAAATGAATATTAGTACCTGAACCATTTCCCATCAGTACTTATTTTTAGAATACATTCTTATAGGGGCGCCTGGGTGGCTGAGTCAGTTAAGCGTCCAACTTCGGTTGGCTCAGGTCATGATCTTGAGGTTCATGAGTTCGAGCCTGTCATTGGGCTCTGTGCTGACAGGTCAGAGCCTGGAGCCTGCTTTGGATTCTGTCTCCCTCTCTCTTCTCTCCTGCTCGTGCTCTGTCTCTCTCTCCATCTAAAAAATAAATAAACACTTAAAAAATTATAAAAAAGTAAAAAGAAAACATTCTTATAAAAAAAAAATCCCCCAAAAGTAACAAAAATCATACTTAAGGATTCTGATACTTTCTTAAAGGAGTATTACACTTTTTCATTTTTTTCCAAAAGATTGTCATTAGTGTTACCCAAAAGCAGCATATTTCCTATGATTTCTAACATGATGCTGAGCACGTAGTGGGTACTCACTAAATGCTTCAATTTGTCCATTTTATAGTTATCTTTACATATTCATTGAAAAGATACATAAATAGGGTCGCCTGAGTGTCTCAATCAGTTGAGCCCTGACTCTTTTTCCTTTTTTAATTTTTTCTTTTAATGTTTATTTTTGAGAGAGAGAGAGAGAGAGAGAGAGAGAGAGAGCGTGAGTGGGGGAGGGACAGAGAGAGGAGTGAGACAGAGAATCCGAAGCAGGCTCCAGGCTCCAAGCTGTTGGCACAGAGCCTGACGTGGGCTCAAACTCATGACCCATGAAATCATGACCTGAGCTGAAGTTGGACACATAACCGACTGAGCCACCCAGGCATCCTGATCGTTGGACTCTTGATTTCTGCTCAGGTCATGATCCCAGGATTGTGGGCTGGAGAGCCCCGTGTTGTGCTTGGTGCTGGGCATGGAGCCTACTTAAGATTCTCTCTTTCTCTCTCCTTTCTGCCCCTCTTGTCCACTTGTACTTGCTCTCTCTCTAAAGTAAAAATGGATAAATAAGTAACATAAAAAATTTAAAAAAAGATATGTAAATAATAAGGGGCACCTGGGGTGTGTAATTCTTGATCTTGGGGTTGTAAGTTTGAGCCCCTCATTGGGTATGGAGATTGCTTAAAAGTAAAATCTTCAAAAGTTAGTTAATTAAATAAAAGATACGTAAATAATTGAAGTACTTTGAGAAGTTAACTCCAAATCTGGAGGAATTCTGGACCTTTTGGGACTACTTTTGAATTTCAGAAAGTGTTAAAATCAAATGTATGTTTTTATTCATGTTTTAGAATTTTCTAATTGCAAGAGTATAACATGTTTAGGGGCGCCTGGGTGGCGCAGTCGGTTAAGCGTCCGACTTCAGCCAGGTCACGATCTCGCAGTCCGGGAGTTCGAGCCCCGCATCAGGCTCCGGGCTGATGGCTCAGAGCCTGGAGCCTGTTTCCGATTCTGTGTCTTCCTCTCTCTCTGCCCCTCCCCCGTTCATGCTCTGTCTCTCTCTGTCCCAAAAATAAATAAACGTTGAAAAAAAAAAATTAAAAAAAAAAAAAGAGTATAACATGTTTATTATAGCATTTGAAAAGTACAGAGAAGCAGTCTCTATTCTACCAGGAGGTAATCACTGTTCATAATTTGGTCTTTCTACATGTGTGTGTTTGTGTGAATGTCTATACCATGGGCTGGGGACAGTTAGGATCATGCTGTATAAACTTTTAAAAGTCAACATATGAACATCTTTTCTATGTCAGTTCTTTCACAGCACAATTTTTTTCCATTAAAAAATATTTTTAAAGCTTATTTTTATGAGAGAGAAGAGAGAGAGAGAGAGAGAGAGAAAGTGTGAGTGGGGGAGGGGCAGAGAGAGAGGGAAAGAGAGAATCCCAAGCAGGCTCCATGTTGTCAATGCAGAGCCCAATGTGGGTCTTGAACCCACAAACCATGAGATCATGACCTGAGCCAAAGTTAGATGCTTAACCAACTGAGCCACCCACACACCTCGCATAGTACCATTTTTAATGACTTCACAGTATTCCACTGTATGGCTATCTAATCCCATATTTATTTGCCCAACTATTTTACCACAGTAATTCTATTTGATACACAGTTTTATTTTTTATTTAAAAAAAATTTTTTTTAACGTTTATTTATTTTTGAGACAGAGAGAGATAGAGCATGAACGGGAGAGGGTCAGAGAGAGAGGGAGACACAGAATCTGAAGCAGGCTCCAGGCTCTGAGCTGTCAGCACAGAGCCCGACGCGGGGCTCGAACCCACGAACTGCGAGATCGTGACCTGAGCTGAAGTCGGAAGCTTAGCCGACTGAGCCAACCCAGGCGCCCCCACAGTTTTATTTTTTAAATTGATTTTTATGTCTTGTTGTTTTCAGTTGTATGTGATAATAAGCAATACTGCACAATAATTTAACACTTGTAATTATTTTCTTAGAATGGAATCCTAGTAGTGGAATTGCTGAGTCAGAGCATGGCCTGGATTTTCAGACTTGTAATACATAAAATTGCTAACGGTTCTCCAAAAAGATAATAACAAAGATGATCAGCAGCAGCATATGAGAATGCCCTTTTCCCGGCCCCTTCATAACATGGTTATGGTATTGGTTGCTATGTTTTTAAATCTTTAAAAAGTTGCATAAAATAGTCATAATTGTTTTTCGTCGATATTTATTTACTGAGATTATCATTTGTGTTTTTAAACATTATAAATAAACTGATAAAATTAGAAAGTTTAAATGCAGACAGATTTAGATTAGGGATTTCCTAACCCGGCTGTATTCTAGAGTCAGTCAAGAAGCTTTAGAATTCAGATACTGTATATGTACTTCCAAAGCAGCTCTGAATTAGATTATTTGGTAACCATGTTAAAAGCCCTAATAAATTGCTTTCCTTAGGTGATAGTCTTTACTCTGACATACTGATAAACATACATGAAAACAAGAACTTTTTTGATACTTTAATCAATAACATTTTATGTTTCTTTTAAACATTTGTAATTTTTGACCTTTCTAATTTGTTCATGATAAATTTGTTGAAGAAAATCAACTCATGGTCATGGATTTTTTTCATTGATAATTTTTTATGAAGTTACTATTTTGAAAATATTCACAAAGAAATATTATAGAACACATAGAGAATTGTCATTTTGGATTTGCTGGTATTTTCAGTGAGATCAATTAATATTTTAGAGATGAAGACTCTGATTACTAAAATCATTTGATTACTCAAACCGTATCAGCTTGTTAAGAAAATGTTTTATTGATGACTTGAATTTGTTTTTAGATTCCTCACTTGAATCTTTTGTTTTGTTTTTTTATTTTAAGGTATTATAATCTAATCTTTGTGATATCCTAGTTGGCTACCATGGCAACAGTGGTCATGATGTGACAATTTATGTTTTGTTCCATGCTAGCACTGATTTTGTTACATAAGTCTGGTTCTTATATTTTTCTAGTTTGATCTGTGAATCTTGTTAAAAACAGGAGACAATAGCTTTTATCTATTACAGAAAGCATGATGTATTAATTGTGTCTGATATCCAATTTTATTCTGGGTTTTCTTCTATTTTGTTTTTTAAAAAAATGTTAATGTTTTTTATTTAATTTGAGAAAGAGCACGTGTGCGAGTGAGGGAGGGGCAGAGAGTGAGAGTCAGAATCCCAAGCAGGCTCTGCACTGTCGGCGCAGACCCCGACACAGGGTTAGATCTCATAAACTGTGAAATCGTGACCTGAGATAAAATCAAGAGTCAGATGCTTAACCGACTGAACCACCCAGGTGCCCCCACAATTTTGTTTTGTATAATAACTTTTGTGTCTTGCTCGTCAATATACTAGACTTGAATATAAACCTAGTTCCCAAATGTAAGTCCAGTCCAACAATTGCCAGCCTGTCATATTTTGATAGGTTTGGGAATGTTATTCCCAAACGATGTAGGGATACTTCTTAATGGTGATTTGTTCCACTCCCCCCCCCCCCCCGCAGCATTCAATTTAATTTACAGACTTTACATCATGTCAGAAAATGAGCATATGTGTTTGCCCTGGAAAACAAAATACTGAATTTCTTAAAGGTGGCCTTAAACAATTTACTTAGTAAAAGTAGGTCTGGATTGATTGCAGTGGGTATACCTTAAGGTCAGGCAATGTTAAGTTATTTCTCACTGGGACAAAGTATCATTGGAAGTGTTTTTTGGTTTTGTTTTGTTTTGCTTGTAAGTAAAGGAATCTGTATTATCATCCTAAGGAATTTTCACATGGAGCCTTTCCTTGAAGAATTTAATTTCATTTTTTACTTACTTCCATTCTCTTACTTAACACATTCTCCAAGGTGGTCAGGACAAATTTTGGGAGCCAGTAATACTGATTATTTTCCTTTAGCAGACAAGCAGTTATAAAAGATGATTTGAGATTATTACCTTTGGTATTAGGACTAGGAGTAGATTCTAATTATCTGTGTTTTTCCATAGTTTATGCTGATCTGTATTTGTACTTTTATGGAGAACTTTTTAGTTAAATTATAACCCGATATCCTATAATGCATGGCTAAATTTGTTTCTTCCTTGTGTAAATATAATTGGAAGGTAGTTTTGTTCTGTGGGTTTACAAATTGATATTGACTGTTTCCAGAAAGGTAGGCTTGATAAATTCTGGCTGTTCAGCAGTTATGTCTTTATCTCTGAAGTAAGTTAATCTGAAAGATAATAGTTAAAAAAATGAATGTTGTGATTCTCTTCAGGGGTGAGTTTAAGGATGATTGTTTTCCTCTTTATACTCTTCTGTATTTTACACAATTAATGGGAATTATGTTCTAATCAGAAAAATTTAAGAAACTGTCTAAATAAATACTGTCTAGCCATTAAAAAGAATAAGCAGGTGGGTTATAGTGGTGCAGAAATATGTATGTGAAGTAATGTCATTGAAAAGGAACACTAAATAATACCACAATTACCACAATTATATTTTATGTGCCTTGAAAAATCTAGGAAGTAAATTTGGAGTGAAAGATAATTTAATATTTATTAGACTCCCTTTTTCTTCTAGTCAAGGTCTATAAATTCTCACCAACAGTAAAATTACTGCACCCTTGAAAAATGTTCTCAATGTGTGCCTTTCTTTTTATAGCATGCATAAAGCTTTCAGATACCCAGGTAGCATTTATATCTTTTTCATTCATCAGGGGAAGAAAATTTCTTTCTACAAACGGGCCCAAATCCTCGTGGCAGATACGTGGAGTGTGTTAGAGGGAGAAGGAGACGGCTGCTTTAAGGACATCTCCAGTATCACCATGTTTGCTGACTATAGATTACCTCAGGTTCTTGTGCACCTGGGAGCCCTGAAATACTCAAAGGAACTACTGGAGAAGCTTCTCAAAGGTTTGCCAACTTAATTAAGACGGTCTTTCTTATCTAGTTTCTTTCATAGAAGTTCTCCTTTCCTTTAAAAAAATAAAAATAAAAAAGCACTGTTTAGTGTTAAAAGCACATGTAAAGAAAAATGCCAGGGTAATTGAAATACAGAGAAAATTGCTTTTGGTTGTTGTTTACACTGCAATGGAATATGGATATTGTAGGAAATTGTGCCGTTTGACATAATTTCAGGGACTCACAATAAAATGAAACCCAAATTTCTTTGACATGAAGGTGTGCAACACTGAAGTCCTAAAGGTGCAGTATCTGAAGAGTGTTAGTTAAGCACTGAAGAGCACACTATATTGTGAAATATGAGATGGGCTGAGAGATAGGGAATATGCAGTGGGTTTCAAGTCAGGAGTCCCCAGGGTCTGCCACTGGGTTACCTTGCTTAAGTGACTCACTTTTCTAGGCTTATTTATTTACCATTATTGGATTTGAGGAATCATTCTCAAGAGTGGGAGCCTTATTATAATAGATGAGTATAGATAATTGTGTGAAAATTAGCTTTTGGGTGGTTTTTTTTTAATTTTTAAAATATTTATTTATTTTTTGAGAGAGAGAGAGAGCGTGCAAATGGAGGAAGGGCAGAAAGAAGGAGACAGAGGATCTGAAGCAGGCTCTACACTGACAGCAGAGAGCCCAATGCAGGGCTCGAACTCATGAACCGTGAGATCATGACTTGAGCTGAAGCTGAATGCTTAACTGACTGAGCCACCCACGTGCCCCAGCTTTTTGTGTTTTAAACATTTCTGTGTATAAGAAAAATAATTACATAATTTTCACATTAATTTATCTCTTTGGGATGCAATCTTTTCAGCTACTCTTTATTTTTAAAAGCAAGTAGTTTTTATGCCTAACTTTCTCTTGTGAAATAAATTTCAATCACCCAAAACAGGAATAACACAGAATATAAAGGTACCATTGTTGCTGTGGTTGTTTCTACCAGTTTTTTATGCTGCCTTGGGCCATCCATTTTGTCCCTCTGTTTCTTCATTTGAAACATCACAAGCTATTTTATGTCATAATGCTCACATCCTGGATCATTAATCGCTGGATACCTTAAACATTTAAGCATTCAGGGCTTCTTTTCCATGTAGCCATATGCAGCTGATCTTTTTTTGGTGTATACACTGCTCGCCCCTATCCGTAAACATGCTCTTGCCTGGTTTCCCTCACCCAAATTCTCTTTTTTCCAATTCAAATCCTACACACCCGCAGGGGCTTAGCTCAAATGCTGCCTCCTCCGCCTAGCTTTTTCCAGCTCTTCATAATTTGTCCGTCTCCTTCTGAATGTATGTAGCACCCAGTTGTCTCTGCTACCGTGAGGAAAACCCTGCTGAGGAGGGATCACCGGCATAGCTGAACAAAGTTGTCTGACCATTCTTGTGCCGTCCACTTCAATTCCCAAGGCCATTTCCCAGGCATCCAGCTGCAACTGTCCAGCTTCTGAAAGGCTTGTTCTTTCATCCTTAGCCAGTCTGACGTAGCGCGAACTAATTTCTCTGCCTCTTAGTTTATTTAAGCAAAGTTGGATTTTTTTCCAAAAGTACTTTCCTAGCAAACTAGAGAAACAAACTATAAACATAAAGGAGTACACACTAGTATAGTACACTAAGTTTTAAAAACTAAAGTGAAATCTAGAACCAGGTAGCTTGACTAGATGAGGTAGAACCTTCCTTAACTGGCCTTCAATGATACTTCTTCCAGATTTGAGTTGTGCTACACACTTATATTGTTTTTCCTCTCTTTTCTTCTGAATATCTCCAGGGCAGCCCTTGGAAGACCTACCCAGATTTCTGTCCATTTTATCTTTTTTTTTTTTTTTTTTAAATAAATGTGGTCTCTTCACTGTAGTATGAATTTAGATGTTTTTTCTGTCCATTTTATCTTTAACCCCTCTTCATCAAAAGGCATTTTTTTAAACCATTTATAAATACTGTGCAATTTGGCTAAATTTATACTCTTCACTGTGATTCTAGGGCTGACACCAGTCATGGCATTTAAGGCCCACCCTAATCCCGTATGACCTTATTTTAACTTGATCACATCTGCAAAGATCCTGTTTACAAGTAAGGACACATTCACATGTACCAGGAGTTAAGACTTGAATGTGACTTTTTGGGGGACACAGTTCAACATAGTTATTTACTGGATGGAGTGGATATAAGTAACACCATTTTGTTTTTTAATGTTTACTCATTTATGAGAGAGAGACAGAATGCAAGCAGAGGTGGGGTAGAGAGAGAGGGAGACACAGAATCCAAAGCAGGCTCCAGGCTCTGAGCTGTCAGCACAGAGCCCGACATGGGGCTCAAACTCACGAACTGTGAGATCATGACCAGAGCCAAAGTCAGATGCTTAACTGACTGAGCCACCCAGGCACCCCTAAGCAATACCATTTAAGACTGGAGGTGACAGAGTGGAACCTAGTGGGGCTGGGGCATTGCCCTACTTTTCAGTGGATCACAGGGCCTCTTAGGTACTCTGAAGCTCTGTGCTAGGGTGCAGATTGGTGGCCAGAGGCCAAATGTAACCCTCAGGTGTGTTTTGTTTGTCCTCAACCATGTTTTGTTTTGTTTCTAAATGTTTATTTATTTATTTTTGAGAGAGAGAGAGAGAGAGAGAGAGAGAGAGAGAGAGAGAGAGAGCGCGCGAGCCAGCAAGCATGAGCAGGGTGGGGCAGAGAGAGAGAGGGAGAGAGAGTCCAAGCAGGCTCTCTGCCATCAGCTCAGAGCCCTAAGCAGGGCTTGAATTCACGAACTGTGACATCATGACCTGAGACGAAATCAAGAGTTGGCTGCTTAATGGACTGAGCCACCCAGGTGCCCTGGACTCGACAGTGTTTTGAGCACTTGTAATTAGTTACTAACACTTGACAGGTTTCACATGAAAATCAAGCTTTCTGACTTTTGTAAAAGTAGAGAAATGTGGACTTACCTTTAGATAGGGCAGCACACATTCTCTACCTCACCAGTTTGCATCTGGCTGCTGCCTTCACTTACTCTGTCTCTCTGATCCTTACAGGCAGTTCAGTTGTTGAGCCCAGTTCTAGTCTCAGTGGCAAAACATAGTCAATGCCCATCCTGCAGGATCAGATACACCCCGGAGTGGGGCACTGGAGAGACTGCAAGTCCTATGGGAGCTCTTGGCTACATATTAAGGCAGGGCTGGTGGAATGATCCTGAATCCAGAGAACAATGGTGGTTTTCCTTGCTCGGGTTAACAACTTTGATTTCCTGGGTTCTCCTTGATGCATTTAGAATGTACCTAAGACAATGTTCAATTTGTTTTTAAAGGTTTATTTACTTTGGAGAGAGAGAGAGAGAGAGAGAGAGAGAGAGAGAGAGAGACAGAGCGTGGGGGGTGGGGGGAAGGTGTGCAGAGAGAGAGGGAGACACAGAATCCAAATCAGGTTCCAGGCTCTGAGCTGTCAGCACAGAGACCGATTCGGGGCTCAAACTCAGAAGCTGTGAGATCATGACCTGAACTGAAGTCGGACACAGCCTTCTGAGCCACCCAGGTGCGCCAACAATGTTCAGTTTTCAAGTGGGGAAGGGAGGTGTTGTTTTTTTGGTCCCCTTGGAGTCCTCTAAATTTTGTAATTTTTTTCCTGGCTATCAAATCCAATTTTAAATCCTTTGTTTTCAAGAATTTAATAATCTTGTCATCATATTTTTAAATTTATGGTTACCCCAAATTCATGTAGCAAATATTTATTGGGGAGCTAGTATGTACAAGGTGCTATGCTAGGTCCCAGGAATATTAGGACAAGCCAGACATGGTCCCTGCTCTTGTGGAACTTGTAATTTAGAATTAATGCCTATTTTAGAAGTGGTTTAAAGTCTAAGTAGATTTTATATCACTGACTTAGTACTTCCTGCTCTGTTTTTCCCCCCTTGCAGGAGAAATGCTCTCGTATGGGAATAGGCAAGAGGTGGAAATCAGAGGGTGCTCACTGTGGTGTGTTGAACTGATCCGGGATTGTCTTCTGGAGCTTATTGAAAACAAGGGTGAAAAAACCAGTGGCGAGATCAATTCCATTCTTCTGGATTATTACTTGTGGGACTATGCCCGTGACCACAGGGAAGATATGAAGGGAATTCCGTTTCATCACACGCGTTGTATTTATTACTGATCCAAAGTGTAAACTGACCCAAAGAAAACTCCTTGCATTTTTATATCCCATAATCACTTGTACAGTTGTGCCTTGGTACTAAGAGAAGGTGGCAGAGGTTATAGCAACAAGAAAATTGATTACCAAGTCTCACTTAAAAAAAAAATGTTTCCTGACGTATCACTCTGTATTCCCAACTTTGCCTTCTTGTTGAGTTTTGGTCATATTTTCTCTTTCTGTGGACATATGACAGGAGTGTGAAGGAACTGTAATGCTTTCTTTAAATCTCAGATTTCTTAAAATGAATCATGCTTTATAATGTGATTACTCTTCAGTGATAATATTTCATCCATTCAACTGGTATTTTTCCTCAAGATGTAGTAATTTCCTACATACCTTAATCATGTGATATGATGGGGGTGGGGGGGTGGGTAGGGTCTTTGCTGTCTGAATGCTGCTGCTCTCATACAAATCAATCTTGACAGCTAATTTTAAACGTTTTATTGGTATTGACAGTGGGTTTTGCAGCTTAGGATATCTGTCTAGAATTCTTTTTTTTTTTTCCCAGAGCCATTATACTGAAATTGAATAAAGATTTTAAAATTTTTTTGTAAGCCTGGAATGGATTATTTCATTAAAATAGAATTTACTACATATAATTTTAAAAGGTTTACAGATTTGATTATTTACTTTATGTTACAGAAATCTCAGTATCTACCAAGCACTCATTTCCCACCTTTACCCCCCCCACCTTCCTTCCAACGCAATCTTGGTTTTTGTTAGTTACCAACCTTGTCAGCTCACCCTGACTTTGTGTGAATGAGAAAAAAGACATCCTTTCCCCAAGCACTTTACTGCCATCTGCTGAAAATTGATCATAATAATCCTACAAGTGGCAATGAGTGAAGGTGAACGCCCCTCCCAGCCCCCTTTGTTGTGCACTGCACAACTTGTACCACCGTCCTGTTTCCACCCCTCCCCTACCGTGACTCGGGGAAGGTGATCCCGTCCCCATTTCCAAAGGTGGACCCTACTGAATATGAACGGTTTACTCGTGATAATCCTATCCTCTGCCTGTGATTGCTTTAGTAGTGGGTATCTAATCTCATTCTGGCCAGAGACATCAAAGGGGAAGTCTGCAGGGCAGCTGCAGGGCAGCTCTTGTGCCACTGGGCATAGCTTGGACTCATGACCCAAAATGACTGCATTCTAATCTAGGCAGCAGGACTTAAGAAGCAATGAAGCTGAAGAGTGCAAGTGTTGCCAGGAAGGTTCTAGCAGCTACCACATGCGTTTTTGCTTTCGTGTCACCAACTAGAACTTAGTCATATGACCACAACTCACTGCCAGAGAGGGCAGGAAAGTAGTCTGTATTCTAGGCGTTGTGTACCAGCTAAGCTCTGGAAGAAGTATGGATGGATATCGGCAAATAGCAAGTTTTCACCACCATGCCTGGATTTTGGAACTTTCATACCTGATACAGGCTAAGAATTTAAATAACATTTCACCTGATGTGTTTAACAGCTGCTGATCAATTTGCAGACCTATTATGTCACTGGGGATTGCAAAATAGTAATGTTCTAACATTCTTGGTTTTGTGGGTCTGGTGCAAGGATAACCACTCTTGATGGATTTGAGGGTAGTCTGGGGAACATAATGAATGTGGAGCTGGCCACTGGCATTCTGGAAGATAAGAATATCGAAATAGGATCTGGAATTTTTTTTTTTTTTTTTTTTGTCTCTTGTTTTGATTGTGTTGATTCATTCTACACACCCTCTGAAAGATAGTTAGTGTGCATGTGCACAGCCCCGGGAGTCCCCTCATCAGAGCCCTCCATCTAGAGACCACTTGGTTTACTGTCACTATCATAGCTGGAGCATTAGTTCTTATTCTTTGATGACTCGGTTTCCTTTAATAGCTTTTGCTTTGTAACAAGTTTGAAAACATTTTGGGCTTTTTTTTTCTTTCATATTTCACTAATTCTTCAGTGGCCACCAGATGATTTGCCTGTATAAACTCAAGTACGTTAGCCATGGGACCAAGTCAGTGTCCTCCAGCCAAAGCAAGGGGGAGGATTTAAGAAGCCGCATTCTCTCTAGATTGGGTGCTGTCAGAAAACGGGCAATTCGACCCCTGGCTATCTCAATAAATCTTGTCTATAAGGAGGTCAGGCTAGAGCGAGGAAAAAGTTGAAATTGGTAAGACAGATGTCATTCACTTTAGCCAAGATAGAAGGACGTTTGGTACTACGTGCATGGCACCATGGCCTTGTTTTTGTCTGTGCTTGGACACATTTATCAAGGGGCCTTGTTTCACCTCACATTATCATAGTCTTGGGTAGTAACCTTGTCCGATGTGCGTGTTCTGGGGGATTGTGTTCAGCAGGAGCACACCACGTGGAGCTGTACCAGGCCAGCCTTCGTCAGGGGCTGTTTTTGTCCCTTCTGCAGCCTTTAGCTTCCCCCTGATTAGTGCTAAAGAAATTAATAGATTTCATTCGATTGAATTCAGAAATCGTCTATTGGGCTCCTTCACTGTTCTCCCTCCCCTGAAGCTGAATGGGTAATAGTTTAATAACCTGGTTGAGGAGGTACAGGTTTTATGAGCCACAGTATGCTATTTAGGAATCAGCCCTGAGGCAACTGCACCTTCTTTTTCCTTGTGAGTCTGTGATCCATCTCTCCCAGATCTCTTAGATCACTTTTTTTTTTTTTTTTTGGTTTTAGGAGCACCTGGATGGCTTAGTCGGTTAAGCGTCCGACGGGCTCAGGTCATGATCTCACCGTTCGTGAGTTCGAGCCCTGCATAGGGCTATCTGTCTGCTGTAAGCACAGAGCCCCCTTTGGATTCTGTGTCTCCCTCCCTCTCTCTGCCCCTCCCCTGTTCGCACTCTGTCTCTCTCTCTCTCTCTCTCTTTCAAAAATAAACATTAAAGAAATTTTTTTAAACTTTGGTTTTCGATGCCACTATCAAAGATAAAACCTGAACAAGTAAGGGAATGGATCTTGTTCCGTATTTGCAATATGAAGGGCACCCCAGATCCAAAGACTAGAGTCCCTTGGCAGGGTGATGGTGGCCTAGCCTTTTATAGGGAGGAGTAGACAAGTTATAGGTGGGGGGATTTACAGGTGGGGTTGTTTTGCAACCACAAGTCTCAGTTCACTGGACAGGATTTCCCAGTGATTATCTCTGTGTCTAGCTAGTTTCAGGGGGACAGACAGTTCTAATCTTAGGTAATCATTAACAATACAAAGAATGAGGAATTGGAGAGGCTGTGTCTGGCCTTGTTAGCAGGTTTAGGCAAAAGGGAAAAGATATGTGTTGGACCCTGTCACAGGTGAACAAGGGAGACATGAGACTCAATAGTTAATCTTATTTAAGTCACTTAGAGAAGGGTGGTCCTTTTGGATAAACTGTTTCCCAAAACATAAAAGGGTGGGGGATTTCAAAAAACAAAAGGCTGGAGAGGGGCGTGTAATAGGTCAACTTATATCGGAAAGCTTATTGTATATAAGTTTGGCTTAAACTCACCTTTCATAAATAATTGAGATAAAAGGCTTATATAGTCCCCTACTAGGGTTATCGGAAATTACTAACTGCCCTATCTCACTTCTGTAACCTCGCCTGCTTGCTAAATAGATAACTTAGGATGCAAAACGCTCCCCCACCCCTTCTACCAAGATCTGGTCTAGGCAAGACCAACATGTAAAAAGTCACGTACTCGCTGCCCCGAGGCATCTTAGGTGTCTAAACTATGATCATTTTAAACCCTCTTAGGACAAAGACCTTTAAATTGATAGGTTCCCGCCCAAACTAACGTCTGTGTGTCACAATATAATTGGCTACCATGAAATGTTGTAAATTGTAATTGTTTACGTATTGACTTGCTAAAATCCATATAAGCTCACTACTTACTACCTTTGTTCAGGGCCATTCTCTGCACTTTCCTCCTTAAGGTCAGGAGATCAGATTTGGCCCAGCCGTGAATAAAATCTTGCCTCGCTTCTATTCGGCTGGTGGTCTTTTTCGACAGCACCCTGTTTCAGGGTGCCTGGGTGGCTCAGTTGGTAGGGTGTCCAACTTGGGCTCAGGTCATGACCTCACGGCTTGTGGGTTCGTTCGTGCCCTGTGTCGGGCTCTGTGCTGACAGCTCAGACCCTGGAGCCTGCTTCGTTCAGATTCTGTATCTCACTCTCTGCCCCTTCTCCGCTCATGCTCTATCTCTGTCTCTCAAAAATAAATAAATGTTAAAAAAAAAAAAAAGTTAAAAAGAAAAGTTTGGAGAAACTTAATGTCAGTGTTTTCTTAAAGTACAGACCTCAGGTTGAATGTTGTCACCATCAATTCTTTCTTGTGCCTGGGTAATTGGTTGGAAATAAATTAGGCTGTCACGGCCTAGACAACATTTTTATTTGCTCATTTATTTTATTTGCTCTCAAACCATGGGAGGTAATGACCCTCCAAGTAAGGAAGTCCAGAACTGTGAATTCTCCACAGTATAAAATGTCTGGAGTTAAGATCCAAGGGCCCAGGTTGCCCTCAGGGGACTCATTATATGCTCACTGCCTCGGTTCTGTCATCAGCTTTTGAACAAATCAGTTAAAATCTCTATGTCTATTTAATTTACATATGAAATGGGATAATCTGACTCTGATTTTTTAGTTCTGGTTCCAATTTCCTTTTTATTCATTTTCTTTTATTTTTTTAATGTTTATTTATTTATTTTTGAGAGAGAGAGAGCATGAGCAGGGGAGGGGCAGAGAGAGAGGGAGAGAGAGAATCTCAAGCAGGCTCCACACTGCCAGCACAGAGCCCAATGCGGTGCTTGATCCCACAAACCACAAGACCATGACCTAACCCAGCAACAAGAGCTGGACACTTAACCAACTGAGCCACCCAGGCATCCCCCAATTTCCTTTTTAAATCATTTTATAAAATATATGCATGTCTCAAATCATTTATAGGATGAGGAAGGATGAGACTGTGGTAGTTCATTTTATGTGTCAGGTTGGCTAGGTTACAGTGGCCAGTTGTTTGGTCAAACACCAGTCTAGATATTTTTCAGATATGACTAACATTTATAATCAATAGAGGAGTAAAGCAGCTACACTCTATTAAATGGGTGGGCCTCATCCAATCATTTGAAGGCCTTAAGAGCAAAAACGGAGGTTTTCAGAAGCAGAAACCACTCTGCCTCAAGACTGAAACGTAGAAACCCTGCCTCACTTCCCCACTTGCTCATGCAGATTTTAGACTGAAGACCATAACATCAATTCTTATCTGAATATCCAGTTTGCTAGCTTGCCCATCAGGTTTGGGGCTTGCCAGCTCCCACAATCACACGAGCCAATTCCTTAGAATAAGCCTCACTTTTTCTCTCTCTAGAGGGATGGACAGGTAGATAGACAGATATAGATTATATATCTATCTCCATTTCTCTATATATTCTATTGTTTCTGTTTCTCTGGAGAACCCTAATACAGGTATGAATAAGTAATATGGCAAAATAGCTCCTATCTAACTCAAGAATATTGAATATAATTTTTTTAATGTTTTATTTATTTTTGAGAGAGAAAGAGAGAGAGAGCATGAGCAGGGGAGGGGCAGAGAGGG